AAATGATATATAGATACAAACATATAGATACATACATTAATTCAGAGAGAGAAAGATAGATACAATTATATATACACATTTCTTATCAAAGCATATAAGAATTCTGACGATTCTGTTCGAAGATTGTGATGATTGTGAAAGATTGTGACGTCAGTACCGTAACTGCGTTAAAGGCATCCAGTGCAGATTTTAAGGATTGGGAACCCGATTTTTCAAAGCCAATACAGTATTCTAGAGTCATTTATTCACATAATGAGTTGAAACCACACTGCCCCAATGTATATTGACCCTCATGGAACAGAATTCCCAACTTCTGACGGAAAATGATTACTGAAAGGGCCCTGGGCTGATTTTCAGAGATACCACCCAGAAAAAAAAGGACTCATCTTGGGGCTTGTTTCTTAAGCTAAATGTATGACATACTGACTAAAATGTGAAGCAGTATGTGTCAATATCACAAATATTACCTTATTCAGGATATTTCCAGTTTTTCTGCCCTGAAATCGCACTGGATGCCTTTAAAACGAAGTTCAAGTTCATTTTTCGTGTGTTATTGATGTTACAGTAAAGGTTAATCAGACAGGAGGATACCGACTCGGACATTGATACGTCTGGTAGGTGTGGGTTAGTGTTTCAGCTCAACGGATTTTCGATATTTAGTCTCCTTAGCGGCTGAGTTCTCGGTTTAAATCCCGAGTCTCCAAGGAAAATCCATCCATTGATTTTTGTGGAAAAGGGGGCAACTTTCAATGTGCTCATGTGTCTATTTTTCTTCCATGACATGCCCGTAGCAAGGATTTTGAAGGGAGGGGGGTTCTTCCTACTGCTTGAGGGACCAGCGAGTGCTGAAGGGGGGTCCCTAGGTCTGAAGGTCTACATTTTACTATATATTTACGTATTTCTGTATTTTTATGAGTTTATGTCAGGACATACTGTATGTGCACGTACATCTTTACATTGTTTTATGGATAATTAAACTTTATTTGCAAAATCTTTCCCATAGCCTAATTGCTTTTACAATCAAGTATAATACTTATTGCAATACAGTAACAGGAGACAGGATGAATTTCTACCTCTACTACTACGCTAGCTATTATGGGGTTCGACTTCTTCTTTGAAGGCAGTGGATAATGAATAGTCCCACATTCTGCATAATTAGTGTGCTTTGTGATCTTAGTAGAAATGCAGTCTTTTGGTGATCTTCAAAATGACGAAAGGATGAAGAAATTGTTGTAACTGTCTGAAATAATCTGTTTCTTTCGGTCTCATAGTGAGGACACAATTTTATTTTTACGACCTCTGACCTCTCGGTACTACTTGCATGTTGTGTGTGGTTATGTAGAGTGTAGTTAAGCCTTACCATGTTGTGATGAAAGTAGTTTGTAGTCAACGACTCCAGGAAGAATAGTATGTATGGCAACTCTTGTCTGCACAAACTAATGGAGATCGGTCTAATAAACAATAAACAAACACTGGCTAACAACATTATTTCAGCATTTCCTACTGCCGACCTATCTCCCACCCCTGTACCCGTGACAGTACAGTCGGTAACGTGCGTGTTGGCACAATAATCTATAGTGATGTATTTTGTTGTATTCTACATACATTGTATGGATGCATGTATCAGTTGATATAGGTGTATGTAGTTACGTGTTTTGTACGGCCGGCCTATTTCCTAGCCCTGTAGCCGTGACAGTGTAGTATGTAGTCTGAACATGTTACTATATATGTACGTATTTCTGTATTTTGTATGCATTTATGTGAGGACATACTGTATGTGTACGTACATCTGTACATTGTTTTATGTGTATGTGTCACATAATTTCAGCATTTCCTACGGCCGATCTACTCTCCAAGCAGAGGTTCGGGTTTTGGGGTATTTTTTAGCGTGTTCTTAGGCTTTTTTTATCGGGGTTTCTCTTTTGCACTGCATTTTTTCCTCAACAAACATGGTTGGAAAAGAGAAACCCCGATAAAAAGCCTAGTAAAAACACGCTTGGAGAGTACGGCCGACCTGTTTCCCAGCCCTTACCCGTGACAGTGTAGCCGGTAACGTGCGTGCCGCACGCTAATGGCCCGATACAGAGATAGACGTTACCCGCGCTACAAGGTCACCTAGCCGGCCCATTTCGCACGGGTG